TAACATGTGCAGTTAATAAGTGCAATGTCTATAGTGCAGAGATCACTCACAACAGTCATAAAACTAAATCTGTAAATTGCATAAAACTATATAAGAGATGAAAAAAAAAACAACTTTTCTCCATTCACCTAAACTGCAAAACCCTCCATTGCACACAGCACAATCATGTGGACAATGCAGCATTTAATGCTTTTACAGCTCTGGGATAAAATCTTGTCTTGCTGTTAATGTTGCAATCCTTAAGGTTTCAGTCTTGGATTATCATCCAAAACATGATTTTTAACATCCCTCGAGTGTGGGTATTGAACACATTTAAGATTGTTGGGTTTTTGGTTTTGTTTTTTTTAACCAAATGCCCCCGGGGACTTAGTTATTGATATAATAAGTTAAGAAAAAGGTATTTCCTTTCTAAAGACAAACTGCCAACTCTTGAGCCACGATCTTGGCACGATCGTGGCTCAAGAGTTGGCAGTTTGTCTTGTAATCGGAAGGTTGCCGGTTTGAGCCCTGGCTCGGACAGTCTTGGTCGTTGTGTCCTTGGGCAAGACACTTCACCTACCGCCTACTGGTGATGGGCCGATGGCGCAATATGGCAGCCTCGCTTCTGTCAGTCTGCCCCAGGGCCAGCTGTGGCTACAACGGTAGCTGCCTCCACCAGTGTGTGAATGTGAGAGTGAATGAATAGTGTAAAGCGCTTTGAGGATCTCGAAAAGCGCTATATGCAGTCCATTATTATTATTATTACTCGAGTAATACCTCAGCCAATTTTGAAGTAGGTCAGATGACAGCATTCTCTTGCAACAAAATCTAAAGCCTTGCCTAGCCTAGCCTGCTTGGGGTGGCTGTAGCTCAGGAGATAGAGCAGGTCATCTACTGATTGGAAGGTTAGTGGTTTGATCCCTGGCTGCCCTTGTCTGCAGGCTAAATATCCTTGGGCAAGATACTAACCCTAAGGTGCTCTCCGATGCATTCATTGGCGTATGAATTTATGTGAATGTTAGCTTAACCTCCCAAGACCCAAACTCTTTCATGGCATGCATTTTTAACTTCTGTTTGCTATTTGGGCTGATAGGGACCTGATTAATGTAAAAACAAAGAATTACCTGATTTTTTTTTTTTTACCTGATTTTTGTTTCTGAGAAAAATTAGATCCACATATCAGGACATTTGTTTTAAATTTTGATAGGAGAGTGGCAGTATGGTGTCCTCGTACGTGGTTATCAGGCCCTTGTATTGCAAAATTGTGTATTTTGGTCTAGACAACCCAAAATGTGATGTCCAAATATGTGGACGCCAGGTTCTAGGAGGTTAGGAAGCACCGAAGAAAGTGCTTGTATGAATGGGTGCATGTGGCATGTTGTATAAAGTGCTTTGGGTGCTCCAGGAGGGTAGAAAAGTGCTATGTAAGTCCATTTACCATTTAGTTAATTTGTTAGCTAAACATCAGAAATTTGTGTATCAGAAAACGTAATTGGATTTTCCTGTTCTCTGTTGCAGGATTTGAACTGATGGGAAGTGTCTCTAATTACTTCACTGATTTTGAGGATAAATCACAAGTGGTCGAGTGGAGAAATCTGGTTTATCTCATAGCCAAGAGGTACATTGGTGAGTGAGTTGAAGCAGACATCGTTAGAGTTTAGTTTTTTGTTTCATACTTTTTTTGCATAATCAATAAGAATATTAAAAAGGACGACAGTGAAGAACAGTGAAGTCCAATAGGAGAGCCATAACAAATTACTATGCATTAAAATAATGAATAACAGTCATTTTTTGACTAAAATGGTCCCAATTGAAGTATTCAGAAATCAGTCAGAAAATGTACTGTGGCGGGCATGTAAACATGTGATTTAGCTGAAACTAAATGGCTTAATCTGCACTGTGTCACCCTGCTCATGCGTTTTGTGATGACTGTCGTTGCTTGTTGTAAATTTCAGACAAATATGGCCTGGGAAGTGTTTCTCGATGGAACTTTGAAACATGGAATGAGCCCAACAACCATGACTTTGATAATGTTACTGTCTCAATTCAAGGTAAACCTGTGAGACATTGTGCATGGCTTGTGTGTGTGTGTGTGTGTGTGTGTGTGTGTGTGTGTGTGTGTGTGTGTGTGTGTGTGTGTTTGTAAACTGTTACCATTGATGAAAGGTAAGTCTGGGGTCCCTCCCTACTTATTTTCTCTTGTGTTTATAATAGTGTTATTTAATGTGAATGTAAACGGGCACACACATTATATGAAGTTATGCAGTTATGTTCCAAGAGCTGCTTTTGCCTAAAAGCACTAAACCAATTCTTCTGGAGCTTCTTTTATAAATTTGTGGAAATTCAAATGTTCTCGCCAGACCGTATGACAGTGCTGTGCTGTGGATTATCATTTTTTTCTCAAGGGTTTCTAAACTACTATGACGCCTGTTCTGAGGGTCTGCGTGCTGCCAGTACACTCCTGAGGTTTGGAGGTCCAGGAGACTCTTGTCACCCCCATCCACACTCCCCGTACTGCTGGGCCATGCTGCAGCACTGCTACAACGGCACCAACTACTTCACTGGAGAGACTGGGGTCAGACTGGACTATATAGCCCTGCACAAAAAGGTGTTTTCTTTTCTTAGCAAATAGAAAATGAAAGCAGTCTTGATTATGCTCTAGATTTGTGCTTATAGTTGCCAGAAAAATATAATTATCATTATGTTCATAGACTCAGCTGTTTTAGGAAAAACTATAGTTATTACTACACAAACTTGCTTAATTCCAGGCTGACTTCCTGTTTTCGATCTTACAGGGAGGAGGCTACTCCTTCCCCATCCTCCAGCAGGAGATCAAGACTGTAGGAGAGATCCAAGAGCGTTTCCTTAAGTTTCGCAGCTTGCCTGTTTACAATGACGAGGCTGATCCTCTGGTAGGGTGGTCCAGGCCTCAGGAGTGGAGGGCTGATGTGACCTATGCTGCAATGGTGGTAAAGGTGAGGCGAAGACATCTAAATGAACAGCATGGGTGGAAAAAAATATTTCACGTGGGAATTTATGTTTGTTAGAAGTGTCCAGTCTAGAACAGTATCTTTCATTTAGACCAGAAAAGGACCGTACCAAATAGCTGATGTGAGCACGGCAGCTCTAAATTGCCGGACATCAAACTTTAATCGGTAATGGAGAGATTAGCAAATGCCCCCATATTTTGTGTATGATCTTCTTCCCATAGAAATGACCCCGACAACTTCATAAAATGTATTCATCAGACCATGAATGTGGGTATGGGATAAAAGAACGAATTTGTTGTCGGTGTGTTACGAGGAGCTTCTCTCTGCCAGTTAAATCACCCTGATCAAATCCTCTGCTGTCCACCTTCAAAAGGTTATAAACCAGCACCAGGATATGTTGATGGCAAACCCAAACAGCACCATCAACTACACCCTGCTGAGCAACGACAATGCCTTCCTCAGCTACCACCCACACCCCTTCACCCAGCGCACATTGACCGCCCGCTTCCAGGTCAACAACACTCAGCCGCCTCATGTTCAACTCATCAGGAAGCCCGTCCTCACAGTCATGGCCCTGCTGGCTTTGCTAGGTGACATCTTTACCCTAGAACACATGTTCCCTCGGGGGGAAAAGGGGATGAATCGTTTAAACATGATTTAATTCGTTTGTGTCCCTGTGATTCAAATTTTAGGAGAGACCCAGCTTCTGGCTCAGGTTGTGAACTCATCAGGAGGCCACAACGGCACACTGGGAGTTCTCGCCAGTAGCCACAAACCCGTAATGCCCGGTGGCTCAGACAGCTGGCAGGCAGCAGTGTTGGTGTACAACAGTGAGGACAACAGCACCTCTACCATCACCGACGATGTCACTGTCTCACTGAAAGGACTGCCTGCACAAAACGGTAACGCTGTCAAGGGATTTGGAGTGTTTCTGTTTATCTGTGATGATTTCTGTAAGACTGTTTGGTTAATTTTACTCCTCTTTGCTATCTGTTTGTTATCCAGGTCTAATGTATGTCACATATTACTTGGACAATAATGTAACCAACCCTTACGAGCTGTGGCAGAACATGGGGAGCCCTGACTACCCCACAGCAGAGCAGTTCAGACGCCTCAGGAGTGTGGAGGTAAACAGGACGGCTGGACAGTATATATTCTAGTTTTCTGCAATTATAATTGTATGTTTTTCAGTGTACAGCAAAACACGAAAGCTAAAAGTTATCTATCCTATTTGATACACTACTCAGAGAAAATTAGGGGAAGACTTGATCATCACCACATGTCAGTTAAAAAAATTACCTTGAGCGAGTTGTTAATGTCCATTTCTGAGCATACTGCCAAAATTGGACTTCATCAGGATTGCATGTGGTCCTGATATTCTTTAGCGGCATCTATGGTCACAGCCCCGTGCGGCTTGATTGGCGTTCCCGAGAGATCAGCAGAACAGCTACTGGTGCCCTTTTCTCTTTACAGAAGAGAGCAGGTTGTCAGTGAGCACACGTGACAGGCATGAAAGAGCCTCGAAGGCTGTGGCACACTTTACGCCGTGCAATGATTCCCTCATTCCTAAATCTGCACCCCAGCTCCACCGAGTTAAACAGGCTTCTCTGCCTTTATTTTTATTTTTTTGATGAAGTTTTCTGCACACCACACTGTGAGAGCATGGATTTCCTCCCAGTATGAACTCTCATCATTTTTGTTATCTAGTTGATGCCTGTGGGATTATTTTTTTGTGAGTCTTTAAGACTTGAACTGATTTGACAGATTACTTTGACCTTTTCCTGCTCTCTCAAGTGCACTGAGACACGCGTTGACCTGATGTGTCATTGTCTCAGGGCCCCCACACTGACGGACCCTTGGACGTTCCTGCAGGAGACAGTCTGATTCTGAAAGCCAAATTGCCGGTGCCCTCCGTCCTCCTCATCCACGTCTGTGCTCGGCCGAAAGCTGTGCCAGACCAGGTTAGTACCAACACAACACAATGGTGTATAGATAAAATATCTCATATTACACTCGTGTCATAAATGAGTCTGAAAGACAATATTAGAAAATAGTAAGAAAGCTGAAGCTGCTTTAAAATATTTTAATTAATTATATTTTTAATTTTAAGCTAGAAAGAAGTCTATAGAGCCAAGGCGAGTTTTTATGAGTAGGTCTATTTGCTAAATTTGTAATAAATGTATGTTTTTAAATGCTCTGTTGTCTATAAAATTAATCACAGATTTATATTTTCACACTGCGTTATATTTGACCTTCTTCAGGTCAACGGGTTACGCTTCATTAGGATCACTAAAGGTCAAGTCCTTATTATCTGGTCTGACCACTGTGTCAATTCAAAGTAGGTGTTTCTCATCCAAAACATTTCATTTCACTCTGCTTTAAAATGTATTATATGCATCTTTATCCTTTAAAGGTTGGACAACATTAGTAAGGCTAATACCACTTTTATTATGTTATGCTTTGCAGATGCATCAAAACATATGAAGTGGAATTATCCACAGGCGGCAAGGCATTCGGCAAAATCAGCACCCAGAACACTATTTTTACTTCTTATGTTTATTCACCAGGTAAGAATTCACACTAAATTCATCTAAACCTGAGACCTTTAGAGTCTGACTGTACAGAGAAATAATATCATGCTCTCTGTTGTGTTCTGTAGTGGACCAGGAGGTTAGTGGTCTGTACAGAGTTCGAGCTGTGGACTACTGGGGAAGGCCCGGCGAGTACTCGCTGCCAGAGAGATATTCAGAGGAGCATTAGTCCGAGATCTGGTCTGCTGGCTATTATGTTGTGTTTTGTTATTGTTTTATATAATGTAAATTTTTGGATTGGTGGATTTTGTATTTAATAAAGCATTGTATGTGGTCAGCTGTAATCATGTGACTCAAGGTGTGAAATTACTGAATCCTCGCCCCACCCCATCACGTTGAGGTCACCTGAGGCAAGGTGTAAGTGAGGTTTGAGACGCTTGGGATCTCTAGACTGCATTGTTGGTTTCTAATATCCGGTGTCTGGTCAAAGATGGTGGACACAGATCGTCTCCTTTACTGCTCTTTGAAAACATCTGTATTCTCGGTCCAAGGTGTGGACATTTGCATCCTTGAAAGAGTGACCTTTATCGTTCAGGTGCAGATGTTGTCATGTTGAGGTGGCTCTTCTACGGTGGCTGTTTGGTTTCTCCTATTCAGAGTCCGAGCACTACTCACCGCGCCGCACAACATACATTGTGTTATTCAGCTTGTGTTTGGGAGTGCATTGAGATGAACCAGTTTCTGTCTGAGGGTGTTGCTACATCTGAAGTGCAGGGGGAAGTCGTGGGACCACAATGTTGTTCTATTTCTGCCTGGTTGGTGTTTGAAACTCTTTCCTGTACATCTTTGCTGATTTGATTAAGGCTCAGATGAGATAAGCACAAGTTTTAGGACTTTTCTTTAAACACATCCTTTTCTTTCTTTCTCCTCTGCCTTGGAGGAAACATCCTCTGTGACTTCAAAATTTTAGGTTTCTAATTTTTCAAGCGAATCACTTCAAAAGAGTGAATAAACGTGAATAAACGTGAATAAACGTGAATTAGAAAGCATTATCATCACTCATACATTTATTTATGAAGTTGTTGTATGTTTTTAAGTTTGTAGATTTGGATAAATAAGTGAACAGTAGATATGAAGTGCAGTTAAGGGGAAATAAAAAGCCACCACAAGTTTCTTTACAAAATTTATTGTCACCGATGCAGAATGGCACAGTGCAGATGTTACCCACCAGTGTGACAGTTTGATACAGCTGGTTATTTGATGATATCCACTCCATCGCTAATAGTTTCCAGTGGATTTAAATTGTATTTTTGTCGTGGCAGGTTTAAAGTTTTCACAGGGTTATGGATTGGATTTATCTGATGTTGGTCACGTAGTTGGAATGTGACAGGCTTATTCTCTTGGATCCACTTTAATGTAGGGTTGCTCAACATGCCCCAGATGAGCATTTGTTTAGCAAGCTCCTGTTGAAAACAGAGAGGAGGAACAAGTGTCAGATTAAGTCTTAAAATTCTTTCTCTGCATCAGAGCTTAAGCTAAACAATCCTCAACACAAGTCCTTGTTTTACATACCGGACTGCAGCACAGGCTGGAACTGTCCGGCCATGCAGATTTCCTCCTGCTTCTGGCGGACCACTCTCTGGATGGCAGGGGGGAGGCCACGGGGGTTGCGGGAGAAGACTAGAGCATAGCCATCCTCGCAGGTTCCGTCATCCTTCAGGGTGCGGCAGGCATAGGTGATGGCATAGTTGTCATAGTCTGTATCAATGACCCAGTAGTTGTCACCTAGAAGTCAGGAATGAGAAATTAGTCCCAGCTCCACGAAGGAAAGACAGAGTGACAAAGAGAACATGATGAGCAGGCTTACCGCCACTGGACAGGTAACTGGCCAGGCCCTGGTAGTCCATAAACATTTTACCAGGGTTGCCAGGGTCAGGGACTGTGTACTGAGCAGCCATGTCAGCACAGACAACCCAGAACCTGAATACAGAGGAGAGAAAATATGCAGCAAATGCAAGCGTATTCATGACCTCACATTGAAGCTGCTACCAAGTATGTTGCAAATACCCACCCAAAGAGAGTGACTCTGCCTCTGGAGGAGGCCACCATGGAGCCATCATTGCCAACCGCGTACTCAGCAGAGATGTTGTCCTGCAGGAACAAACCCTCAGGATCTTTCTTCTGCAGAGCGTACCACTTCCCTGCGTACTGTTGTAGGGAAGAAAGGGCGAAGATGAGCTTTATTTTGATTGGCATGTCTATAGTATGGATATACACACTGAAATGTGTGAATATCACAGTAAGTAGCACATAGTTCATATGTGTGATTGTATGCTGATGATGTTCTGGTTCATGAGCCACATTGATCATTTTGTTCCTGTTTTGGTTATTTTTTTTAACTACTTATTATACACCAGTGTTACTATAAATACAGTCAAGCTAATTCAGATTACAGAAAGTTCAAAAATACACAGAAAAAGTCTTAGAATATATTTCAATTTTTGATCTTGTAATGAAAGGGTTAAGAAGAATCCTTAAAAGACACATTTGCGTACTCACTCTTTTGGGGTCAAAGTCCTGTTTGACTGTGAAGCTGTCCACCACACAGGAGGCCAGGCTGTGCTCCACACAGGCCAGGAGCATCATCACCAGAGCAAAGATTTGAAAATTCATCCTAACGCAAAACCCAAATTAACACTGTATTATGATTTGTTTATATAAAGGTGTAAAGTCAGCATTCCTAAATCATTTTGACACTAAAATCCTCATAAATGGTCTAAGAACAAGAAAGGGTTGTTCTTTGAGCTCCATATTTATTTGTAAAAATTTGAGCAAGTCCCTTAAAAGCAGCATCTCCTTACCTGAAGTAGGGAATGAAGAAGCCACAAGACGTTTTCAGTGCAGAGTTGTTGCAGTGAACTGTGGTGAGAAGACGCTGTGTGAGCCTTTTATACCCGACGCACAGACAGGCTCGCTGCTTATTTTCAGATTTTAAATCTACGGCTTATCCAGTTAACAAAATCCGCCGGCGTAAGCTGATGAACCCCCAGATTCAGCAGGCTTTATGTAATTCAGTGCAGGGCTACATAATGGAATACAAGATAGCAGATGCCCGGCAGGATAAGGCTGGCTGAGCCGCAGGTCACGTATGCACAGCAAAGGTGTTTACATGAGCAGGCAAATGTATTTTTAGCCCTGAGGATACATGAAAATGTATAAAGTGTACAGATTTACCCAGCCTGAGAAAGATGCAGGGTTCAAGAGAGATTCTGTCTTTCTACTGCATCTGTGTTTCCTTTAAATGTGTTCAAAACATTCCCAAAACCCTGAACAGGGACAGTTTTTCCAAGAGCATTAATGCTTTCTGTTATCATTATTAATATTAATTTAACACAATAAAACAAATCACTGCACTAATTAACTTAGTGTTTTGTTCTGCCAAGTCTATTTGTAGATTAAGCATTACTGCTCCGTCTCTTTAGCCTTTTTGCCTGTTATGTTTTATTCGGGATGTTTTAACCTAAAATTATGTATTTTGTGAATTCTTAAACTTTAACAACCAGTGAAAAGAAATCAAAAATCTGTTTTCCACCTTCAACAAACAGTACAAATGTACAACTGGTAAAACTGCAAAAAAAGAAAAAATTATATATATGTACTGGATGTTGGGTCATGTTAGGTCAGCACAGGCTCAGGTGTTCCCGGCTGCTGCCACTTACTTGGTTAAGTAATCTGTCTCTTCTTCAGCTTCGCCCTGCAATGTGTCACACAGGAAACAGCTGAGCTGCATTATAGAAAGTTTACACCACTTATGCATCCTGCATGTGCAGAGGTCTAAAAATGCACAAGCTTCTGTTTTACAGGTATCAAGGTGAAGTGAAGTTATATTCCAAAAGCGCTCACTTTACGATATTATATATCGTCTACATGGTTTATTTAGAAGAAAAAAGGATAAAGAAAAGCTCTTCTTTTGATTTTACAAATTTTGGAGTCAAATGTCGAGCAACTGTTTTGTTTTTTTCAGTTTTTGTGTCCCAGAATCCAAACGTAACCAGATCACTGTAATCCCTCTAACAGCTCTTGGGAGATATTTTTGTAAGGTAAGGAAGCCAATTTAAGACGAGTAGTGTGTCGGTAAATCCGGCTGCATTTTTCTGGCAGCCCTGTCATTGTTGTCGTTCTAACAATAACCTGTCCTGAAGATATTACATAAGAGCTTTGTGCCCAACGTCCTCACCTTTTTAAATGCAGTCAAATCTTCGACACTGCTGTGACCAGTCACGTGTCAGCAGCGTTAACTCTGCATCTCTAATCTGAAAACAAACGACAGGTTTAAATGATCCTGTTACAGACGTGCACTTGCTTAACTGGAAGGGAGCTCAGGTTGATCAGATCTGGACCAGAGCCATGTCAGGTTGATGACTGGTTCAAGTTGTATAACAAGCAGCTGAGTGTAGAAATATATGCATCCGTCTTATTTAATCATAGGCTGCAGTAACTATTTTGATACTCAACTAGCCATTCACTTTTCTCCCAATTAAATTTTCATTTTACAAAACTATCTTTTTGTGCATTAGTGAAAATAATTAATGACATAACTCTGGACTTTGGAAACAATAGAAATTATTTTTAGGCGATGCAATTAAACCAAAAGTAAGAGGCTGTTAAAATTGTTTTAACACCCAACCAATGTGGGTCACACTAAAAGTGAAAATGAATTTCCACATGAACTGTAATCTTAATTAAATGGGAAGTTTAGACAATAAGTATGAACTTTTCCACAGGTTCAGAAATACAGCAGGACTGAGCAGAGTGACAGACGTGAATCTCAAACAAAGAGCATATGACTCAAACTTTGGAGTCATATTTATGCATTTATATAAGTAAATCTAAATTAAAGATCAGCCACAAAATAAGTACATTTTTACCTTTAAATCTATAAAATTATAATAAAGTGTTCCAGGCTGTCTTATTTAAAACTGACATCAAGGGCCTGGTGGCATGTCACCGTGCCAACATCTAAAAGGCTCTTTCAGGCTTTCAAAGAAAAGATTGTGAATGCCTGGCAGAAGGATTTAAGAGGATAAGTCATTCCACTGTAACAAAAACTACAGATCACCTCAGCCATGTTGCCAGTTAGTTCTCAGACCTCGAGCGATCACTGCGATTTCACCACGACACCCGTAAAGTTTCAGAACTCATATCATAACCCACCATGATGGAGACATTCACAGGCAGACGTGTCAACACCTGTTAAATTATTTTAAAGAAATGTGGTTCACACACACGCACACAGAGTTATACTTATGTCTTTATTGAAAAGCTTAAAGTGAAGGCTGGAGAAAGTGGACATAATACCTCAAAAGCTCCTTGGATTGAACAGGATTTGTATAAATTGGGTATTGACAACCTGTGCTCTTGGAGTGAGGTTGGAGGGAACAGTGCTTTCATCATCAACTTACACAGAGCAGCATTACGGAGGTGCACGAAAGTGGAGGAAAAAAATTAATCAATGCGCTCCGTGTTTCATCAGCATTTCTGAAGAAGAAATGAGAGGTTTACTAAACTAACCAGCACCCCTTCATAAATGGTTCCCAGACAACTGTGCAAATTTTAAGTCGATGTTGTAAATGGAAACCAGTGATCCAAAAAGTTGTTGGCAGTAAAACCCCAAAAAAAGGTAACTGTAAATAATGATATATTTCTACATTTAATATGAAAAAGCAATCGGGAATTCAGTTGACTGAAGGAGAACAAAGACCACAGTGCATATATGGCATTAAGAGTTCAAAAGCTTTACTCAATAATCCATGATTAACATTAAATCACAATATCTGGAAAACCAAAGGGCTGCTGTATTATCAAAGGTAGCGGTGAACATGTCCACAAAATAGGAGTGTTTTTGAGTGGCAGTGACCCCATTTTGCCATAGCTACTCCAGAAAGAGTGGAAGAGGATGGAAATTGCACGTGGACGTGGACATCCTGGAACAGCACTCCAACGCTTTACTTCAGAATGCTGTCTTCATTTGCTGTGAGGACGAGAGCAAAATATGAGATTTGACAATGCAGTCGTGATTGAGACGTCCACATGTGAGCTGTACAGTATGTCTGCGTGAACAAGGTACCTTCTGCTAGCTGCTTGGCGATGCGCTCCTGCTCTTCACGGACCTTCTTCTCCTCCTCCTCAATCCTCCTCTCTTCCGCTGCAATAGGCTTCAGGTGATCTGAGCAAATCAGAACATTTATTAAGCTGAGGTGGAAGAAAAAGACACGCAGTTTCCTGATTTATGAGATACAACTATTGTCTTACACAGCACGTAGTATATAAGAAGCTCTGCCCAATGAATGGAAGTGTTTGACCTCATTACACTACACAGCTGCAGTAAAGGACAGTTCTAGTAACAACTTACCATATCTCCTTTTGCCATATATGATCCCAGCAATCAAAGCTGAGTACCTGGCTGTCTGCAATAGAAAATGTGTACATGTTAGTGTCAAAAACTCCATAATGAGCCGGCTGAGATGCAAAAGAAAAAACACGATATAATTGTAAATGATAAATGATTTATGTCTGACAGTGAGAGCCATCCATCAGCCTCTGATGACCATTTGGTACCTAAAAAGCGAGCTACTTCAAAAATCCTCCAACAAAACACAGGAGGAAAAATGTTCCCAGTAAAAGTGGAAACAACAAAAGGTGTTTCACAACTTGAGGCAAAAACACACCACCGAGTAAAACCTTGCCATAAAGAGGGAGATACTAGCAGCTGGTGTTGTGTGACCCAAATGTAAAATGACTCCACTGAGCATCGCTGGGGAACTCGCTGACTGCACTCCATATGACAGGAAGGGCAAACGTGGATGGAAATGACTGATGTGATCACATGGTGGAAAAACAAGGCTGTAAGCAGCTGGTTAATAGATTCACATTTCAGTTATGGCAAATTTATTGAAATATTCTGATATTGTGTATTATACCGTCACACAGCTTTTTGTTTTGTAGATTTATAGTGTATATATTATTTATGAATGCAATATTCATTATTGTCTTACACAGTGTCAGTCTGTAGTATATATACACATTTTTGCATTCTCATAGAATAATGCCGTTAGTAGGCGCCTGCAGCATTTTTAGTTTAACTTTGTTGTTTGCTCAATGTTTATTAAAGACTGTACTATTTGTATTCTTTATCCTGCTGCTGTAACACAAAACTTCCCTTGTGGGATTAAAGTATTTATCATTTTGAGGCTGTATTTTCTAACACCAGCCGCTACACCTGATGAGCTTTCATTAGTACAAAAGCCACATTTGACTGAGGATTTAAAGGGCATTAACGACAGGGCACAAAGAGTAACTGTTCCAGTAAAAAACATATCTAGTCTACAGTAACCTTATCCACCTGTCATTCACAGTATGACCAGTAGGGGGCAACAGCTTCGCTCCAAAACAAGAGTTTTCTGACAGCTGACAACTGAAGTAGAAGGCGAACAGCAGCTAAACTTGTTTGATGCAGAGACAAATACAAAAACAACACATTTTTAGAATTAGTCATTAGTTATTTCCGGTGACTCCACTTTACCAGCCAGTTAGCGCTGCGGCGTTTAAATGAAGGCAGCTTGTTTTAACTATCAGTCAAATCAAGCGTGATGTTCCGTAACAGGCACTGTTCTCCCGCACACATGTACGGTCAGTGCAAGCTGAGCTGTACGGCACAATCAAACAACAATACAACTCAGGCTGCAGCTGCTCATTCATAGTTTTAGTGACACAGCTGACAGCTAGCATGCCCCTGCTAAACGTTAGCAGGTTAGCGTGTTCTCGGTAGCTAACTAGCAGCCTAAAAGACAGCGGTTTGTGCCGTCAGACTATAAAACACTAGTTTTATAACAAAATGTGTGTCAATGCAAACCTTAATCAGAGGTGACACTGCAACCGGAGGAACCATAGTTTCACGGCAGGCTTACGATTAACAGCAGAGGTCACTTTAACACCAGCAGGAGGAAGAGCAGAGGTGTCTTCTTCTTTAGGTCTTTCTGCCGCTGGTGAACTGCTGCCACCTTCTGGAACAAGTGGTCCTCTTCAGCCTTGAGGCCTGGAGTTCCCCACGCCTGATCTAGGCTGCAGCTCAGGCTGTCCAAGAGCTCAGTGATCCCCTTGTCCAGATCTGGATGGAGATCCCCCAGGACACCATCCGTCATCGCATTAGGAACATGCCCCGACATTTTCACGTATTCACTATTTTTGAGCTACTGCAATGAAAATTCAGCAAAATGGACTAGCCCATCTACTTGTTCCAAACACATCAACCTGTCCATAACTGTACAGATATGAGCATGTCTTTTTCTCATTTAGACCGAATGTGTTTAAGTCTTTTGAAGAGTGTAGTTGATAAAAACTATAAAAAGAGTTTGGGTTTGTTTTTGTTTGTTTTTTTGTTGTTGTTGTTGTTGTTGTTGTTGTTGTTGTTGTTGTTCGCTTTGTTTTTCCCCTTTTCTTGATGCCAAAACTGTAAAAAGGAAGCAATGTCAGTCTATGGGACAATTTGTGATTGTTATTTGTGCTTCACAATAAAAATATTTGAAGAGAAAAACTATAAAAAGCAATCAACTCTGTACTGAATACAATAAAACAAAAGTAAAGTTGATGCGAAATGTCTTTAGCATTGCAAATGCTGTTTTGTGCTGTGATATGTACTAAACTACTCAACTTCCTCAACCATGCCTCCATGTAACAGTGCTGTGCCACCCTGTGGACTGTTTTTCTAATTAAATGCAAACATCTGATCTTCTTTTATCTGTCTATATTCAGTCATAGAGTTTGTCTACATCTGAAAATAATGTAGAAACTGTTCTTCAGACTTGAAGCACAGACATAACACTGGGTTCATTCCCTTACTGATGCTGCCATCCAGCAATAATAATAATAATAATAATAATAATAATAATAATAATAATAATAATAATAATAATAATAATAATAATACTTCATAATCCACGTTTTCCACAGAAATAAGGTCTATGAGCTAAATGGAAAATCAAAACCCAAGCCCATTATTAAATATGTCAATAATACTTTTTTCTCTTTTTCATAATATTCAACCACAGATCTAAAAACTTATATACACCGACATGATTTTGCAGTAGCAAATGTCTTCCTGCAGAGGTCAGTAAAGAATCTTTGAAGATCCTGACAACTTTGTTCCCAGGATAGCTGAGAACCTTGGACACACTTCATGTTCAGTTTTCCCAGGTGTGAGAAATCTGGGCGTAACTTTTAATCAGGTATGCAGTTGTAAAGTTTTAAAGTCTTAAAACTGTTTCTGTTTCAAACTAAGACAATCATACAAGCTATTGTTATGTCATGCCTTGACCATTGCAATTCATTATTCCTTTTCCTGGATCACCTGCAAATAGCTGAGAATGCTCCTGTGAGGCTGCTCACCTGGTCCTCTAAAAGGTCCCGTGTTACACAAAATCTGTCGTCTTTGGGAAAACCATCCCAGAAGCTTAGCGTTAGCTTGATTTATTCATTTTAGACCAGTTTTAATTTCGGTTTGGGATCATGGTCCTGTTTGAACACCCAACTCTGTCTAAGTTTCAACCTTCTAGATGCTTTGAGGTGAAGATTTTGAAGGTATTCTTCCTTCTTAGTTATTCCATCAACTTTGTGCAATGTAACAACCACTGGCAGCAAAACAGCACCATAACATGATGCTACCACCACCATGCTTGACAGCTGGTACAGTATTAGTTTTGACAGCCACACCTTTACTCCTCCAAACATACCTCTTATCATTGTTGCCGAATCACTTGATATTTGTTCATTCTTATCATAAAACATTTGTTAGAAGGCTCGATTTGGCTCGATGTTGATTTTAAAGCAGGGGCTTCTTTCTCGGTCAGCACCCTCTCTGTCCATGTTCCAGCAGTTTGAGTCTGGCTGGTTCCTGAGTTGTTCCTGAAAATCCTAACCAATTTCCCCTCATCTGATGTTGATAGTTCAGGTGTTTTTTCAAGAATTTAGCAAAGTGATGTCACATTTGAACAGCATGTACCTACATATAGAAAGAGGCCTTCCCAACCTGTGTAAATCTACAATTTCTGTTCTTAGATTAGACACCGAGTTCCTTGAAATCTCCCATTGTTCTGAGTGTTGGTAATTCCAAGGAAAAGCTACAAGTTGTGGTCAGTTATGGTCACTAAGAAGTTAAAATGCTTTGTCAGGTTAAAAGACAGTGTGGAGCCTTCAGCACCAATTATTAAAGATTTAAGAGAACATGTGTGTATATTTGAGTCTGCATGTATATTTTGACCCTGTGTGTATTAGGAAAAATCCAGAAGTCGTTAAAGATGTTTGCTGTCCAATCATTAGAACCTGGAAAAAGAACAGTTCAAATAAATCGTTAAGGGCCCAAAATTACCATGATGTTCATGTTGAGTACATGTGAACTTCTGACTACAGCTGTATATGTAACTGCTGGGTCTCCGAGGTAATCCGACCAGCTCTTTTTACATATTCCTAGATCCAGGTTAAAGACAACAGGAGACTGGGATTTTGAGGTTGTGGCTCCCAAGTTGTGAAACTCGCTTCCAGTAATTGGACCTTCTTCTTTTTTTAACAAAAAAACCCCCTTTAAGACCCACATGTGTGAGATTTGCTTTAATTAGTTTTATCCATTTGTAGTTTTAACTGTTGTATCCTATTTTGTACTGCAAAGCCCTGTGATGTTTGTTCTTGAAAAGTGCAGTTTAAATGAAATTGTTTACAATCAGTCACTGAGGAGACTCTCTCTGTGAGGAAAACAGCATTTATTGAAAACAGTGTTTGAGACAGCATATGTCTCAAAGCCAATAAATCATACCGCGTACATTGGCGGAATGATTTACTTGCTTTGCATGCAGATTTGCAAAATGACCGAATACTGCAAACACATGAAAAGCAGCGCTGCACTACAAAGTTCACCAAGTAAACAGATCACCTGTGTGAACACTGATTTAAAGCACTTCAGATGCAAAGGAAAGGAAACTTTGTTCAGCTGCCTCTTAAAAGCGTCTCTTCCTAAATTTCACTGAGCTACACTGTAGATGTGTTTAAGGACCTATGCCCTGCCTATGCCCGAGAGAAAAGGATAAAAGGATTTTCATTCATTCTATAGGTATCCAGGTGAACTCTGACCTCTTTATCCAAACATTTAGATGTTGATGAGATTACAGATTTTCACTCTGGGAAATTAAGAGTACTGCTTTTAAAACATTTCACTTAAAAATTATGCATTTTAACTTGACTTTAAGTAAAAAAAAAACAACAACCTCTTCACAGCATGGATAAAACAATCATATGTAAACATATTTTTACACATTAGATGCTTTTACGGAGAGAATTATTCCCATTTTTGCACCAAGGGTAAATACTGTAGATGTGCACAATTTAATAAATGTTGGCCACAAACCTTTCTCTTCGTCTCTATTTTGATATAGTGCATAGTTGACAAAATATTGTATAGATTTGAAGAATGTTTACATTTGTGGTATTCTTGAAACAAATATTTCTAAATTGTGCTTTTAATGCTTGAATATCCCTTAATAAAAATATAATTTCCTGTAAGAAAATTTAAAGGGACCAGTTTTCCCCTTCTTCTCGGCACACTGTGTGCCAGATTTTCACTCTGAACTCAGTTTAATAGCTAACTAGTCTGGAGGGTGTAGACAGCCATATGCTTCCCTCACAAAAGCTGCCAACTAGCTGGAGCGCCCCACTCCAGTAAGCTGAGTGGTTTCTTTCTTTTCTTTTCTTTTGTCCCTGTTCTAGTTTCACAGTGAAGCATATTAGTTTGTTCTATAAAGAAGAAACAATCAGTGTGCATGACATTGGTGGTTTCCAAAGCAGTGTTCCAGGGTTTTCACCGTCCTCTTGCCAAATTTCACCTTCCCTCGGTTCTTCAGGGAGGCGGTGTACTGGTTGGACTTGAGTTTGGAGTAGTAGTCTGAGAACTTGTTGAAGAGGATAGATATGGGCAGGCCATTGAGGATGATTCCAAAAGCAATGCAGATGAAGGCAAAAATACGGCCTAGCATGGTCTCTGGATAGACGTCTCCGTAGCCCACAGTGGAGATGCTGACCTGCAGCGAAGACAGGAAAACGGTCAGTGCTGATGGAAAAAACATCCCAGAAATAAACAGTAGGCACGTTTAGCCAGGGCCCAGCTAAACTGACCTAAAGCTTTCTCTGCTTTTGGCTGCCTATTGTAATCTAAACCATCATGTTGTATTAAATACGCCTTCAAACGAATGACTGAGGCCACCAGGAAAGTGTTTACTGAGGTTATAGATGAAGTGAGCAGCATGCTCATATTCACACTCACTTCTAAACAGGAGATGCCCCCTGTTGGCCATAAGATAGAATGTACATTACAGCCAACTTTTATATACAGCTTATGGACGGTGTTAAGAGAACTTTCTTTTGTAACTCTCTTAACCGTCCTAACAACAAGCCTGGCCTCCTCTTTAGAGTACAGCGTCCATGAACAAGAGTTTGTAAATGCTTCTGTATATCTCAGTGCTGCAAATTGTAGGTATGCTAAAAATAATTATGTTAAAAAAATGCAAACGTTCATCTATCTATTTTCCACCACTTCTCAAATTCCAGGTTGTTTCCAGGCTAGAGCCTATCCCATCTGCCATGGGGCAAAGGAGGGGGTACACCCTGGACAGGTCCCCAGCCCATCGCAGCGTTAACACACCATGCCACTACTTATTACATCTGATTATTAGATATTAATAATAATCACTGCTACACGACTACTTACGGTGAGATGACACATGACAATTTGTTTGTACATCAAGACATGCACTGGCTAGCAAACCACCTTTGTAGTAGTTATAAATCTTGCCCTAGAGTGGTTCAGTTTTGCTGAATTTCACTACTTTCCCCTCCTGCTGACAGACTCACTGTCAGGCTGTATTGTGTAAATACATTCAGACATTTAGTTAGAAAGCACCCACACTGCCCCTTGATCCATGAGCACTTTTGTCAGACACCAGTTCAGTTTTCATAAGGTATCCTGCCAACAGACTGCAGGTAAAATGTCTTAGAAGTAGGTGGTTCGATGACTCACTGTATGTGAATTTACATTAATGCAATGGGAGTCGGTAGCCTTGAGCAGCATTCAGAATTCTATAAACATGACTATCATTCAGAGGATTATTGTTTCTTTCCTTTGGATTAGATGTAAGATTCTACCACCTGGTTTAGGGGAGGGAGGGAAAGGATCTGTTAATGGGTTTATTCATGCAGCAGGCAGACTCTGTGAATCAAGATGTTAACCTCTTAAACTCCAGCACAGACACTACTGGAGTTATGGCTGTTCCACCCTCTAAAACTTGACAAGGTGCCCCACAAAATATTCAATACACAATTCCTAGGAAGCGCAGGGAGACATGTCCTTAATCAGAGCTGACCTCATTTGTTTTGTAAGGTGGTATTGCCCAGTGTAATCTAATAATGTTGCACTGAGACACGAGTTACTCAAGGACAGGACGCATTAATACTTATTTTATGATAAAGTTTATATTTGCTACCCTTTCTGTTATTACTTCATACTGTAGTCATTCTTCATTATACCCCTCAATACAAACATGCACTTACAGCTGCCCACCACCATGCATGAGGAATGCTGGTGAAGTTTGTGTGTGGCATGTCGTGCTCCACGGTATAAACCATAGCAGAAAAGCTGAAAATGCCCATGGCGATGAAGAGGAAGAGGCAGCCCACTTGCTGGTAGCACTGTCGCAGGGTGAAGCCAAACGCCCGCAGACCCGTGGAGTGACGCGCCAGCTTCAAGATCCGAAAGATCCGCATCAGTCTCATGATCCTCAACACTTGCCCCAGCTTTCCCACCTGCCCCACCGCCTGCATGTCAGCCTCATGCTTCACGTAATTATCCTGGCTGTCAAAGATCTCCAGAATGCACTGCAGATACTGAGGCAGGATTGCGATTAGGTCCACGGTGTTGAGCACGCTCCTGCTGAAGGAACTGAGGTCGGGTGTGGATATGAGACGCAGCAGGTATTCCATGGTGAAGAAGGTGATGCACATGGACTCCACGCACTCCCAGTATGTCTTGCCGCTGAGGTGACCTGAAGCAGTTCTGTACTGCATCTCCTGTACCGTGTTGAGGGTCATGGCCACCAGGGAGATCAGGACAAACAAACTGGAGGCCACAGCCATCAGCTTGGCCTGCACAGATGAAAAAGGCTTCTCCATCAAATTCCAGATGGCTCGCCGCATCTGGCCCATGAACATGTCGTGGAACAGCTCCTCGTTCTCCTCTATCTCTATCTCTGCCTCCAGCTCCCTCTGGATTTTCAGCTGGTCGTTGAGCTCGTCCTGCCTCTCCTCGAAGGCGATGCGGCAGCAGCGGTGGGTGGTCTTGATCCTCACGCCCCAGTAGTTGATCTCCTCCAGAAAGTTGCGGGGACACAGCTCGTCCTTGATCCAGAGCACTCCCGTCCTGTAGAAGTTGAAGATGCTGTGAAAGACATCTGGGTCCCTGTCAAAGAAGTACTCGTTGCTGGTCACTATGTAGTCATCACACAGGTCCAGCTTCATGTTGTGGTCTGTGTACGTGGCCAGTCTCCCTATCCTGGTCTTGGGGTACTTCGCTGCCATCTTGTAGGCTATCTTGTAGGGCTTCCCTCCTACATTAATATTGATCACATAGTTCTTCTTGGAGGGGGAAATGTGCTTGGCGAAGCCGTATGGAGTACTGTCATCCTCTTCGTCCTCATACTCTGCATAAATGTCGTAGATGTCCCTGCTGAGCTCCTGCAGAGAGTTCCACGTTTTCACGCAGCTTTCCTTTGCTAGTGGGTAAACGATCTCAGAAGGTCTTCGATTAAGATCAGAATCTGTGACTTTGTAGTTGGGGAAGAGACTCTGTCTCCTGTTCGGTATGCTGTCCACCTTCCTGGTGCTCCCCATCTTCCTGTGCTCCACCCTCAAAAACTACACAACACACAGAGCAGCCAGACTGACCAGCATTACTGGAGTCTAATACTCCCTTTACCTAAGAGTGGAGGACACAAGCAGGATGCCTCATGGCCCTGTTAATGTTGCTGACTGAGAGGATCCGCATGCTTACAGGACATATAAATACCATTATCCTCTGCTGAGCTGCCTGGTGACATGATGTTGGCTGTGTAGAATATCTGAACAGATGACCAATAAGAATACATCTCGTTTTATATAAAATGTGTTTTGAAATCCCTTACTCAAGAAGTTATACCTGAAGGCTATGTGTGGGAAATACTACTGTATACCTTTGTTACTTGCATGCTGTCTGAATAAAACTACACTACTTAATACTTTAATACAGGAAAAACTGTAGATTTCTAGTAGAAGTGTTGTTAAAAGTTCACTTCAAATTATTTGTGAGATGTTTTTGTATTGGTTTCCTATAGCAAAGGGAAACAAAGGAAGGCTAGTGCATACATAAAAGAGGATAAAGGTTTTAAGCATTAGCCTACTTCCTGACTGGGAGGGGGTGGGGGCGTTCCTCAGAAGTGAAGTGAATCAAGGTTGCATGCCCTTAACATTAAAACATGTGGTTTTAATGTTAAAGCAGCAGACAAGCATCAGCAGCAACGCTGTGACACATTCACATAAGCAAATAGCAGGCTGAAAATTTCTACTCAGGAGAAACAAGTGTCTCCAACATGACTTTGATTGCCATTGAATCCTCTTATTGGATATCAGATTATTGTTCTGCTGACCAATGACGGCATTCTGCAAGACTATTGGCTTATTACAAGAGCCATAAAGTATGTCAACCCTTTATTTACCTTCCTGCTGCCAGCCACCACATGAGGGTTAAATCAATTAAGGACTGAAGTCATTAAATCAGTGACACTTAAATACCACTTTCAGACTTAAGATAGCCTTATTAGTATAATGTGTCATTAGATCAAGGGGTAAACTGGGATGACGATGCAAACTGTAGGGTCACATCAAGTGGAAGAGAAAGGAAAAGAACATTTTCCATATGATACATTTTCAGAACAATGTTTTTTGTTGTTTGTTAAGCCACTTCACATCTGTGAATCATTTAAGAATCAGAATCAGAATCAGAATCAGAATCAGAAAGGGTTTTATTGCCAAATGTTGAGCAGGTTTACAACATTAGGAAATTGCTGCGGTGCTTCAGTGCAAACATACTGTCATAAATTACGCTTAAATAGACATGAAAATAAAAATGAGAATAAGAATTAAAAGTGCTAAATAGATAGATATATACATGATATATACATGAGTGCAGGTGGTGATCAGTGCCAAACATGGAATGATGCAGTGAACACAGCGTAGGGTCATGTGTTAGTGGTGGGAACAGTCATACGGTTATTGTTCATGTGTCCAACAGCAGAGGGGAAGAAACTGTTCTTATGGCGAGAGGTTCTGGTGCGAATGGACCGGAGCCTCCTGCCTGAGGGGAGCAGGTCAAACAGACTGTGTCCAGGGTGAGAAGGGTCAGCTGAGATCCGAGCTGCACGCCGCAGATGTCCTGGAGGTGTACAGGTCCTGCAGAGATGGGAGTCTGCAGCCAATCACCTTCTCAGCAGAGCGCACAACACGCTGCAGTCTCTGTTTGTCCCTGATAGTGGCTCCAGCGTACCACACGGTGATGGAGGAGGTGAGGATGGACTCGATGATTGCAGTGTAGAATTGCATCATCGTCCGTGTTGGCAGGTTGAATTTCTTCAGCTGCCTCAGGAAGTACATCCTCTGCTGGGCTTTCTTAATGACGGAGGTGATGGTGGGCTCCCACTTCAGGTCCTGGGTGATGGTGGTACCCAGGAAGCGGAATGAGTCCACAGAGGTGATGGGGGTGTCAGTCAGGATGATGGGGGGGAGTGGGGCTGTGTGCTTAAGTATATGAAAGGCACCCAATTCGAGGGATAAACCAATAATGTGTCTACACATACGAGACAACTCAACAGAAAACTCATTTTAAATTGTTGCAATAGCACATAATTTGTTGAGCATTGATTAACATTATCTGAAAGTCATGTCCTTGGTGCAAATTGTTGTCAGTATGTACAGTGCAGTTCAGCAGAGAGGTACAACGGTGAGTGTCAACAGGAATCTGTAAAACACAGCTCTGCCGTGATTTGAGGCTGAGATCATTGTGATAGGATCATCTTGAGAAAGAAGAGAACAAAAGGCAACCAACATCCAAGGAAAAACATTTCTAATATCCTTTAAGAAGCCTGGAGAACTAGCCCTATAGAGTACTTAAAGAAACTATAAGAAAGCTTTCACAGGAGAGTTCAGGCTGTGTTGAAGAATAAAGGTGGCCATGCCAATTATTGACTTTCAAGCTTGCTAGAATTCCACAAACTGTTTTTGTCTTATCTGCTGTATTTTGATGTGTGTTTGCATGTTTCAATAAATCCCTGCACCTCTTTCTCATTTTCCCAGCAAAACATAAAGAAATGAGAGGCAGCTCTTGCCTTTTAAGGAGGAAATAATGTGGTTAATTTTTACTATGACCTTTACTCTGACATGGTGACAAACATTACCTACCTACAGACCG